TTAAAAAATGGCCACAGATGTTGACACTATGTTCAAAATAAATAATGATGTTCAAAATGAAGTGATCTGTCTATAGGATCTATTTTGTAGACATAATTTCTCATTTTTAAACACTTGTGAAGTTGAGCAAGATTAGTTCAAAGCAGTCTTTGGGGAGATGTGTGTATGTAAGGTTTTTTTTAAAAAAAATTTTTTGTGTGTGTGGTAATACAAGCTTAAAATCCAAACTGATAATTGTAAGGGTTTCTCTTTCAATTCAGTACAAAATCCCAGTCCTAATATTGTGAGGGTTTTTATTAAAGCAATATTATTCATCCTTGGTTGTTCTGAGGAATTTTGGAAGCTGAACTACACACAACTTAAAGTTGTTAAGGTTAACACTGATCTACAGTATGGCTTCTCATTTATAAATGCTTCAATTAAATTATACTTTTTCTTCTTCTTGATCTATGAAGATATTTGCATGCATTTTTAAAAAATCTATCTTTAGTTTTATGGAATTGTAAAATTTAAATGTCCAGAGGACGTTGGTGCTTACCATTTTTTTAAAAATAAGAATTCTCATATCCTTCTACATGAGAATGAGTTTTTTTATCTAGAAATGTGTTGGTTAAGTATATATTAATTAAAATTAAAAAATTGTTAGGGGTATGGAAATTTTGATTAATAAGTCTTCAACATTTGTAGATGATCCAGAGTAACATAATTCCGATGCATTATTTAAAGTTGTTCTGGTTAGCCGGCAGCAGGTGCAGATGGCTGAGGAGAGTGATGACTCTGATGAGGGGCCAGGACTATCAGGGAGTGGACTGCTGCCTTCAGAGCTTGTGGGGGCTGGCAGCAGTGATGAGGAGGTTCCCGAGGAGCCTGTGCCAAGTGCACGTGCATGGAGGATTACTCGGAGGAAAGAATAATTACAGCAGCACAGGCAACTCGGGAGTAAGGCTGCAAGGTAATGGCCCCTCCCTCAAGAGGATAAAAGCCAGGTTTGAAAAAGCATTCTTTGCAGATAGCAAAGAAGCTCTTAGCTCAACTGGTGGACATCTTAGTTCATGAATCTTGTAAATTAGTTCTTATCTCTGGGTTTTTGGCAGCTTTAACAAACAACTTGGCAAGGCTCTTTCTTGTTGGAGATAATTGTTGGAAAGCATCCTTTTATCTGTAAAGGAACAGCATTTGTGATTAAACTTTGAAAGGTGGGGGATGCCGCCTTTGTCTGTGTTTGCTCTCTGGGAACCCGGCTGGGTCACAGCAAAAGTACAGGTGAATACATATTTTTAAATCTATATTTGCATTTATTAATTATGGTATTTCTACTAAGGACTATCTTGATACCTTGAATAATCATTTTGAATATCAGATAATTATGGCTGGTGTTGTTAATCAAGTTTTAGATCCATTATTATATTGCAATACTTTTGGGCTAAATTCAATCTTCATGTAAGGCACAGCTACAAAGTTACAAGTTATAGTTTAATTGATATATTGTCACTTCTTTTGAATGCTACATATGTCTAGTTCCATTTTTCACTATTTCAATCTTCAATTGATGAAAGTGATGAATGAAATATTACAATATCCATTCATGTTCAACTACTATTATCTTTTTACTTTTTTTGAACTTTAACATTTTTATTAGATTATAAGATAAAATACAAAATATAAAAGACACAGTGAGAGGGAAGGGGGAAAGAAAAGTGAGGAAAAACCGGAGAAAAGAAAAGAAGAAACTTTGACTTCCGACTCTCTCTGTTGCAGTAAAAAAAAAGCATTAACATCAAACCACAACTTTTTCTTTTTCCATAATACTATAAACTAGCCATTTCTATAAAAAATATATCAATTTAATTGGTAAAATTACCATTATCAATGAGAAATAATCACCCTAAATAGTTTTAAATACTGTACAAATTATTATTTAGCTATCCACTTTTTATAAAACTGATAAATAAGACTTTGAAGATTTTTTAAATAGACTGCAAAGACATATACTGATGGTCATATTATTTCATAAGTATCACAAAAAGTAAGCAATCCAAACAAGACAATTTTTTAAAAATTAAAGAAGCTTTTGAGGAAGTATGCAAGAAAATCTACGTATATTTACATGAAAGGATAATATATGCTAGATTGGAATTTTATCCTCTATATGCACTCAGTGTAGAATAATCATTGAATTGTATAAAATAAAAATATTGTTTTATAGAAAGGAATAGAGAACACATCCAGTGAATTATTGGCTTCTCAGCTGAAACAGCAACAACAACATTAATTATAACTGTATAATTAATGTTCTTTGCAAAATATGCAATGACTCTAATCTAATGAATTAGCATTTTAAAAACAAATAATTGTGCTTGATTTTATAATATGAAGTCAAAGGTTGCTAAGAAAGAAATTATTTAAAATAATGAATCTATATTTCACATACACAAGCTAATTATCTGACTGTATCTTTATTTCTACCCTGATACTATTAAATCTAAAAATAGGTGAAGCTCCTAGTCCTTTATTTTCTCCTTCTATTTTTGCAATTTCATAATGAGGATTTTTGAATGAAGTATTGTCATCTTCTTGTAATTAGTTTTACACAACTGAATTTGAAGGTTAGTAAAGTTACTGCTGATAGTGCAAATTATCATCTGAATTCTTTTATAAATATTGATGCCAGAATGTTAGTAGTGTTACTGAAATGTAGACTACAGATGAGCTTATCTTTGATTGTCTCTCAACGGAAGTTTTGTAGCATGAAAGTTTAATAAGTCTCAAATAACATTAGATTATTAATTTATATTGCAAATATCAATTCAGAAAAGTGGGATCAATATTGCCCTTGTTGGACATGAAAAAGGCCTCTCTTATCATACAATTTAAATTATTGGAGCACCTTCTGGTGAAACATGATTGTTTCTTTTATTTAATTAACTGAATTAAAACTTTAGTCCTTTGGTCACATATGGAATTACTTTCATTGATGTCAAAGGAGCCTTTTTCTCTCCTCTTGCATTTAATTTGATAGTGAAACCACTATCCTTGTTTAATCAGATAATTTAAGGATGCTCTAGTCATAAAAATGCCTGAAGTTGAAAATAAAGTGTTATTCCAGACTGATGATGTAGTATATTTTATTGATAATTCTGAATGTTCTGTATCAATTCTCATAGACAGAGTGGCTGATAAATTTTCATGTTAATCAGTTAACTGATGTAAGCTTAATACATTTATTTCAGTTCCCTTAAATATCTTGGAAGTACCTAGATCAGTGATAGCTAACCTTTTGCTCCCCTGCCTCCCTGCGCATGCGCACACATTTCCCACATGCACCCCTCCCCTTGCACATGCTCAGCAGATACCTGAAAATCAGTGGAACTGAGCTGGGGCGATGGCTCACGTGCCCGTAGAGATAGTTCTGCCTGTCACTTCTGGCACGTGTGCCATAGGTTCACCATCATGGACCTAGACAAATGTCTTTCTGTTATCTGTAAATATTCTTTTTAGTCTTAAAGTTGATAGAAATACATTATTTACTACTGATAGAAATTCTAGTGAGCTTGTTTGGAATTACAAATGATGTGAAATGAATATTATTTCAAGATTCATGTATATACTTAGAGAGGTCCCCAAGTTAATATCTTTAAGGTATTTTTTAAAAAGATATCATGTTTTTTCCCTGAGAATAAGCATACAATTTGTCTTTATCTAAATTACAGTTTTCATATATATTTTCTGAACGTTAGCTTTATCATGCCTATTTTTTCCTGGAATCAAAGTGATTCAGTTCAAAACCTTTATGGGAATCATGAGAAAAATAACTGAGTGATTATAGTATCATCAGACACTCGTTTTATAAATAAAAACTCTTCCAGTATTTCCTTTATTAAAGGTTGTAAAATAGATTTGGAGGATGTTGGGATGGAAGTATTATTCATATGAGAATGCTATGTGGGATAATCCTGACCTGAAAGTTGGGGGGATAATGTTTTTAGCAACATTCAAGTCAAAACTATTCTAACAAAATATAGTTAGTCATCCTGGAAGGAAACGTTATGAGATTTTTAGTCCACCCCAGTTTGTTATAGCTATTGATCTGCCTACCTTTAATATTGGATTTAAAGTTGTTATACTACTTGCAAATGTAGCATTTGATGAACTAAAATGCATAAATTAATAAAATGTAGAGGCTAATAGACTTATTAATACTTTAGTTCTAATTGTTAATGAAACGTTTAAATCATTTAAATTATTGCAAGAGGAATTTAGATTGTCAGACAGCAGAATGTCAGTATATTCACTCAAAACATCTCTTGATGGCACAAATTGTTCTAGGCACATTGGCAGCATATAAAATTCTGGATTTGCTATGTCAGCAAATTTAGAACGGACTATGTGGCCTAGAGAGTCAAAACATTGGCTGATATTTATAATGAAGAGGGAAAATGCAAAAGAATGTGCAAATTACTGAACCATTGAACTAATTCATCGTCCAGGCAAAGGTTTTTTGTTTTTTTGTTTAAAGAGCTTAAAAGAAGAATTGAACTATACAGGGAGAGAGAAATGCTGAACAAACAGACAAGTAAAGGCACAGGTACATGAGAGAGGATAGTTAACATGAAATGGATAATGAAGAAAACAATCCATGAAGGAGTTTTCCTTTTTTTTACTGACTACAGCAAGGCCTTTAGTTGTGTAGATCATGCCAGAATGTGAACGTACAGTTGACAGTGCAGAAGTGAAAGTGACTGATAGTTTTGTTTTCTCTGGCTCAAGAACTGGTAAAGATGGACAGTGTGCTAGAGAAATAAAGATTAGATTAATCCTAAGGAGGAAGGCAATGACAAACCTGGGCAAATTCAGGGAGAATAAAAACATTTCTATCGTAGCAAAGATTAGAACTGTTAAAGCAATAGTTGTCAGGTGCAAAAAATCTGGAACTAAGGTTATTCAGATGAGTACATGTTTATTCCATACTACCTCTAAACAAGAATCTAAAGTACTAATGGTCAAGGCAAATTGCTGGTTGATCTCTTGTGGGCACGAAGGGACTCCAAACTGATGATATGCTTGACCTCTCCCTCAGGCTCATCTTCATCTTCTCCTACAATAGCATTTCTGGTGGCAAAGTATGACTGCAAAGGTGGACCTGAAAAAGAGAGAAAGAAAGTATGGATCTGGAGATGGTTACTGAGAATATCATGAACTACAAGATGAACCTTGACTGTTTACATAAGGGAATGGCCAGCAAAGAGAAACTTACATCCCTTGAACAATGTATTTTGGGGGAACAGAAAAAATGACTACACCTGGCAAAGTTTGTTGGAAGTAAAAGAAGGTAAAGGCAATGGATGGATGACATCAAAGAAATTACAGGGCTGTCCTTGGGAGAGCCACAAATTATTACTGAAGACAGATTGAGATGGCAATATTTGTCCATGCAATCACCAGTAAACATGCCTAACTCAATGGTATGTAACTATCTAATAAATTCAAAAACAACACAATATCTTTCCAGCAGGAGGACAAAATTCACTCCTTTCTACTTTTTGTGTTTTCTTCTTAATGTACAACACCATATTGATTTAAAGATGTATATGCCACAGAAATAATGCGAGACAAATTTACCACTGAAACCTCAGAATTTTAAAATTAGCACCCCTGAATATCTAGCCAGTAGAACAGAAGCTTAATTAGCAAGATCCAAGATTGAGAATCTTGCCTGGTTAATTCAAACAGAAAAGTAGGTGCCTCTTCTCATCAATATATGCTAATGTACTCTCTCAGTTCTCCATACCTAAAGACCTCTTGTGTTTTGTAAAATTAGGCAATACAAGAATTTCATACTCACTCAAGGATGGATGCCAATGAAAAACAGCCAGAAGGACCCCTGGCAATCAGGAATGTCTCAGCACTCAAGCGTAGCTGCTTATTCAAGGAAGAGATATTTCATCACCTCAGGTCAAAAGGGGAGCTAGTCCGTCTGCTCTGAAACCAGAATTAAAGCTCTTAAGCCAGCCAGAAACATAGCATTTAATGAAACTAGTAAAAAGAGAATCAGTTCTTGTCTTATTCATTTCTAGTGCTGTGCTTGATTTTTCCAGTAGGTGTGCTGATGCTGTAATACAGAGAAATGTGTCCTTGTAACAACTAAAGCAGGGTGGAGGCACAAGCCTTCTTTCTGTAGAAAATGAGAAATAGAAGAGAATATATAAGGCTCAGGGTTGAATAGTGGAGAACTAGGTCCTCCCTGAGCTTGGTTGTTTGCTTGCAGACATTTCATTATCCAGGGTCCAGGATCATGTTGCATAGTCACTGGATAATGAAACAACTCCAAGCAAACAACCAAGCTCAGAGAACACCAAGGACTCCAAAAGGAGAAATATACTAAATGGTAAATGGAAGCAATCAGTGGCAAATCCAGGCACGCTACCCAATTTTATCTGAATGCATGAGGGACTCGTAGGAGAGACATTGCCCTTGAAACTTTGCTTTGCAGAAAATCTGATTGGATTTACCAAAGATGTTTAAAAGACTAAAGTGGGGTTCAGCAATTGTGCTTCAGTATATTTTGTGAAACTGTAGCCTGTTGTATGAACTAGGGCTAAGCTGTCACACTAAGGCATCAGTTAAGTTCATTTTTTAAAATATAAGCTGTTACATGAACATAGGAATTGCACTTTGTAAGGTTGGGCTTAGAGTTTAGTATGTCAATGAGTTCAGTTTCTGAGTGTAGAATTATGCCTCCCTTCAATACTTCATACTATATATGAGATCTGAGTATGATTCCATAGTATGATGGAAACTAATCAGGGAGAGCTCCAACCTAGAAATAAGAAAAAATTTCCTGAAAGAACAATCAATCAGTGGAATGGCTTGCCTTCAGAATTTGTAGCTGCTGCAATGCTGGAGGTTTTAAGAAGAGATTGTATAGGACCTCTTTCATAAGCAGAGAGTTGGACAAGAAGATCTCCAAGTCCAAGATCACTTCCGACCCTGTTATTCTATGTTCTGCATTTTGCATACTTGAAAGGAGTACAGTTGTGTTATATAAGCATATTTCACATGTGTGCATTAGTCAAATTACTTTGAACATTACCTAAAAATAAGATTACAAAGAATCACACACGTTACTTTAATCTTCTTGGCAAACTGGCATCATGCAGAAAATATTAATGACTGTGAGCAATATCTTTGAAGTTCTATTCTCTCACTACCTGTAATGACTTCATGTTTCTTTGTTAAAACATCAGTTCTGTTCATTCATTTAAAAATCATTTTAAAAGATTTATATGGCTACCTATTTTAATCACAATATCTTTGGAGGCTCATACGTACACAATAAACATAAAAAAACTACATATTTTTCTTGGGCTCCAACCTTACTTTAGACTAGTGTTTCCCAGGCCTGGGAAATTTATCCAAAACTGGGTAAAAGTGATTTTTCTTTGGGTAATGATACACAAGACCATTATCCAATCACAACAAAGATTTTAAAATAAAGACTTTCTGATAATCTTTAAAGAGGACTTCCAGATAAGTCGTCTTGGGCAATGAAGGAAGATGTTTGGGAAGAGCTGCCTTAAACCATTGCTTGGGGCTTCATAGGGTATAGGTTCAGCTTTTGTGGTTGATCAAATGCTTTGTTTTTTCTTAAAATGGTCAATTCTGTCTAGAGTGTTTGGATGGCATTAAGCAGTTAAAAAGGTTGCCCCCCTCACACCCTGCTGTTTTGTTTTCTTGACTAACAGGTGGACTTCACAAGACTGTACTGACTATTTAGCATCTGAGGGAGTGAATTTAAATAAAAGCAAACCAGATAGTGACCAATCTGTTATATTTCCTAAACCCAGTGTCAGAGATTGGCTTCTATTTAAAAAAAAAATGCCGGGAGCACAGGTAAAGTGTGAATAACAAACAAAGAGTCAAAAGCTTGGCTCTGACTTACTTTGCTGCCATGTTCTTAATTAGAACATAAACACTGTCAGATTATAACATTAGCAGTTCTAATTGGGCCAACAAAACAAGAGACTAACTGTCGCCTTAGCAGCCAGATTTCTCGCAGGCAGGATCACTGTTCAGAATACAAAAGCACTAATGGCTCTGTGTGTTGAGTGAAAGGAGTAACAATCAAGCCCTGATTAATAAGGGTGGGGTGGGAGGCTAGTGTAAGGAGCATGCAGGACCCAAAGAGAAGGTAAGATAAGCAAGCAACTGTGACAAAGTGCACTGTTATTTCTCTACAGACAATATGGGTATTTAGGCCAATTTTCATGGCTGAGAAAAAGGACTTAAGGACATGAGAAATCCATGGTGTATTATCACTAGCCATCTGGCAAAATGATTCCTGCTTGTTCCACTGAAATGCTAGATGGATTGATAGGAATATGACAAATAGCAGCAGCAGCTGTGGTAAATATATTGATCATGCCCCTCTAACTAAGCCCAGAATAAAAACAGCAATAGAAACTATAACATATTACAAGCAACTGTAAAATCACCACACAGAAGAAGGAATCTCTTCATAAAAGGCCCATAATGCATAATAATATCAGCTATGTTCAAATTAATATATTTTTAAAGAATTTAAATTATAAGAGTACTACTGCCCTCATCCCCAAATATGTGTTTTTAAGATTTCTTTAAATCTAAAAGGTCTGGTTCCAAATATAATTCTGGTGGGAGATGATTTAAAAACAACAACCACAGAGCTAAGAACAAAGCAAACAGATGATACCATGGCTGACTGGCAACAATAATGCAGACTAAATGAGTGACTGGCCTGGTGACAATTGGTTATCATGTGATCCAATCCTAAGAATAACATTGTAGAGTTATTGTAGTAGAAGAAACCTTAACTGTTTTCTACGAGAAAACAGTTTATTGATACATATTGTATGTCCTCATGATCCATACATTTTAGAAATCCTTCTACTTTTTCATTCATTTCCTATTATGTATTTCATCAACAATAAAGAAAAGATAACCATGTGTCAGCCTTCAAGATTTTCTCCCTTTGCTTTGCATCTTTCGGCTGTCATAAGTAACGGGGGGAGGAGTGGGAGAATGGTTATGGGAAGTGAGCTGGAGGTGTTACAAACCAGAACTGTATAAGCTGGGGGAGGGGTAGATACTTGCTTAGGCTTCTATCCTATGCTATGCGCAGCTGCAAACTCTTTATCAAAATATGTCAAGGTCAACGGACAGAAGCCTCATCACCACCTGGAGATGCCCACATGATGATATACACAACTTTTAATTGGATGAGCCAATTGAACTATTGAGGGTGGGAACATTGCCATTACTTTGTATATGTGATTTACGCACCCATTTTCTCAGATTCAGAATTCTTTTGTTGCTACCACTTGATTTCCAGTAAAAGATATCTTTTCTCTGATTAACGGAGTCTAAGTATTTCTTTCTTGGATTTTGAATGGAGCATCAGCTGACACCATGTCAGTTGGTTTGTGTTCTCATGAAGTTGGTAACTATGATAAATGTCTTGAAAGTGGCATCAACCTTTGATTGGTTTCGACTTAGTATAACATGAATTTAACAGCTGTAGTTGGGATTAAGGCTTCAGCTTATCTTTGAATTTAGTAACCATGGGTTATTCAATAATCCACACCTTTGCATGCTGTACACATCCAATAGTAGTTGTCACTGAGCAACATATTAACATAACAACACAATTGTAAATTGTATCTTTAAAAGGTCTACTGGTGTGTTTTTTTTAAACTTGGACAGCATTAAATGCAAAATACCAGGACAAAAGGCGGACACCCTTTAGAAAACAGAACATAAATTATTTGTTTTTCTCATTTTTTTACTTTTTAAATTTAGATTCATCTTTTTTTATATGAAAATTCTTAACAAATATAAATAATAAAAAAGAAAATTTAAATTATTTAACCCAGTTGGATGGAGAGAAGCTTAAATAACATTGGTCCTAACTATAACTGAAATCTATGATGTTATTACTTTCTGATGTGTACCAATTATATTGCTTCCACTGATAGACACATAGTGAATAGTACTAAACCCTATTCATTGGTATGATCATGTGGCAGCTGTTACAACAGGCTTCATGAAAGTTCTATTGTGAAAATTTAAATCACAGCTAGAGGTCTATCATTAAAAAAATATCAT